TTCCAGTCTAAATCATTATATCTTGAATACAGGTTTTTTTATAACTGTAAAGCACTTACCGGTTTTTTGAAGATCTTGCTTTGATACCGGAAAGCTTGAAATTTTCATTTCGCTTGAGGATTTGACCATTCAGTTGTTGATTGTCGGCGTCACATTTTGCCAAGATGAGTGGTAGCAGGCAAATCTGTCTTAAATAACTCCATATTTTGTACTTTTAGTTTTTTTGCTGAAGATTGTAAAATGTGAGGTACTGCTTTCTCCACGAGTTTGAAATAAAAGTGGTTTTCATTCTAAAATATCTTGTTCCCTCTATTCGCTAGATATTGACACCTGACTTTGAAAGGGTTTCCATTGTTTGCGCACTGGCGTGGCGCACAAAAAATACACAACATCTGGTTCCGCCCAGTGATTCAGTGGCTTTAGCTATGCAATTCAAGAAGAATTCACGATGTACAATAAAATTGTCGACGGTTGAAATGTGAACGACTTACCTTTCTTTCTATTCCCTTAACAATAACAGTTCCGACAGTTGACTTTAAAATGGCTTTCTAGGGCGCGCGTACGGGATGAAAAGAAACGATATTATTGCCGTTTTAATTTCTTGTTTTCTTATTTTTATTCAGTTACGAGATTCAAGAAAAATTCACTGCCTGACGAGTGAATTCTACGTTAAATTTCACTTGAAAAACCTATATCGCACCCACCTCTTCGCGATTCGTGCGATATCAGTTTTTCGCGTGAAATTTAACCTGGAATTCATTCGTCAGACAGTGACTTTTTGTTTCGAATCGCATTCATTGAATAATATCTCGCATTCTGATTGGTTAACAAAGCGAGGTATTAGCGTGGAATTGCGAGTTGAAAACGAGGCTAAGTGATATTGTTTCGCATCTAAGAAAACATAACAATTTTAAGTAATGCTGTTTCTTTTTTTTTTTCCTCATTTTTATTCAGTTATGCGATTCAAGGAAAATCCATTACTTCACTCGTGAATTCCGCATTAAATTATACTTCTCAAAGTCATTGTACTTCATAAAGTCAACTACAAATCACTGCATGTATACCACATCACGTGCATGTGTTAGGATACCCAATGAAAAACTGGATGAAAATCTTTAGAGATTTGGATACAATATCCAAATGTCCACTGACTCTCAGAAAATCAGTGGACATTTGGATTTTGCATAGCCAGTAGTTTAGACTTTTTCCATTCATGTTTTCAATGCTTTCAGTCAACTCTTTAACATCCAAACCAATATCTTAAGCTTTTAACACTCCGCCTGGCTCGATGGAGCACAACTTGTTTGCTCTTTGGACTTGCCATTCTCGAAAAATCTGTATCGCCCATTTGTTCTTGTAAACTGTACATTTCGGAAGAGAATTGATAATAGACGCGTTTTCCTCGTCAGAAGTTTTGGGAATCCGAAACCTGGAACTTGACTCATCCATCTCGCACAGTAAACTGATTTGATAAACTGTAATAAGTTGGCTAACTTCCAAATGGAATTGAATTGAATTGAATCTTTATTAAGTCATAAGATAAATAATCACATATCCTATGTTACAACATTAAAAGAAGGTATATATATAAATTACAGAGAAAATCAAGATAAAAATTATAAGACTAGATTACAAAGTTTTGCTGTTTTGAAACGACTCTTTTCCTTCCTCCGTTAAAATCGAAGTATTTCTGGTGATATCATTTAGGAGACAGCTCCGTGCTTTCTGCCTAAATAGTACCATTTTGAGGTCACCCTTTCTCTAGGTGTATAAAAAAAAGGGTGATATTCGACGTTTGATTGCGGAATTGACACTAAATTTACTCTTAAATAGGCCATTTTTAGCGGAAAACGCTATTTTGGAAAACACAAAATAGTTTGGAAAGCGTTTATTGTTTACAAACAATAATCGGCAGTTGGTTTCAGAAGCTATACCAAAAACTCGTGCTTCGTGTTTCATCAGGGGTTACAAACACCTCGAAACAATAAAAATACTCGGCGTGCAGCCTCGTGCTTTCATCTGTTTCTCGGTGTTCGGACCAACACTCAAGGTCTTAAAACAAGTGAGAAGAATATGCTGCCTTTCAATATCAACAAATGGTTAGATACTCTAGTCGTCTCGGATAGGGACGAATAAATGGAGGTCCCGTCTCCTGCAGGGTTAGGGGTTGGAGACGTTAATTTCCCACGCACAAGATTACTGTGTGATGGTGTCCTCCCCTGGGGTGGTTACTGGGTGGGAATTGGCCCTGAAAATCCCCCGTGGGGAGTGGTCAATTAACATATGTATGTATGTATGTATGTATGTATGTATGTATGTATGTATGTATGCATGCATGCATGTTTGGAACCCGTGATGAAACACTTGCACTCGTTTTTGATATCGGTTTTCCTGTGCAATTTAATGCGGAATTCCCTCCTCAAGTAATGAATTTTCCTATACAATGCAACAATGAGCGCTCTGATCCATCTTGTATTTTCTCTAAACTCCCCGTATGCTTGACGTCTTTATAACAGTATGCTGACAGACTGATACTATAGGAAAATTGATTACCTGACGAGGGAATTCCGCGAAAACCGATATCGCACGAATCGCTTCGCGATTCGTGCGAGTATCGGTTTTTAAGTGTAATTTAACGCGGAATTCACGAGTCAGATAGTCAATTTTATTTGATTCGCAGAACTGAATGAAAACAAGAAAACAAGAAACTAAATCGGCAATACTATTGATTGTTTTTATCCCGAGCGTGCGCTCTAGAAAGCCATTTCAAAGCAAACTGTCAGAAGTGTCATTATGTTAGGGAATAGAAAGCAAGGTAAATCGTACATGTTTGAACCTTCGACAATGTTATCTGTACCTTGGGCTTGATTTTACCTTAATTTTCGAACTTTTTAAACAACCTTCGCATTATTTGAGGATAATAGTGGTATTTCACTGGATTTAAAAGCCGTTAATCGTTAACCTCTTTTTTTAAAATTCCAAATTATTTGCTCGAGAAGGAAAATAATTTACACCTTTTTTACCTCTTTACTGGCAAACTGACAGAAAGGAAGTGTGCAAGCGAAAGCACTGACTTCAAGTCCAATAACATCGCGATTAATATAAGGTAAGTGCCTTGAAGTGTAATTGCGTGTATTGATCGATTTTTTATTCCTTATAAAAAAAAAAAATAAGTGTTTCATGAAAAGTCCAAAAACTTTAATCCTTTTATTTGTAGAAATTCAGTACAAGCGACTGCCATTAGCTGAATCGTTGGGATGAGCATTCGACTGAAAGTTGATGGAGTCATTCACTGGAGAGTTGTTGAACGATACATTGGTGAACAATCCACCTAGAACTCTTACTGCTAGATCATCAACGCCGTTATTCATTGATGTTGTGTTATTGCCAACTACTGATCGATGGAAGCGCAAGGCTGTTGACATAAATTTCTCGCAAAGCTTTAGTGCGTGGACCGACCTGGCGTTGGCAGCTGAGAGATTCGAAGTGGTACGACTGAAAACCCAGCCAACTAGCTTGACATCCCAGGGCGTAAAATTGCGCCTAATACAGGCGCCAATGCGACTAAATTTTTCACTTTGGCGACCAAATCCTGAAAATTAGTCGCCAAATTCGCGACTAGAATTTCTAATCACATCTTACTTATAGATGTAGTGATTGTTGAAGATTTTGAAAGATAAATCTGCAGCAACGTTCCTCGTTAAGCTCGTTTCCAAAACGCAGCACATGCACGATGTCGAACGTAATTCTGTTATCACTAGACGCCATCTTGGATTTAAGTAACCTATAATGTTGTATATGATCCATTCTAGTGTCCTCTTTGTAGCTCCTGCGAATTTTGATGTTTGTATGACTGTATCACTATTTAAACAATAGGGTGTTTCTGTCGAGGAACTATCGGCTGATAATTACCCCGCGGAAATTTGATGTTCTTTAAACAAATATGCTAATTTTAAGAACATCAAATTTCCAAGGGGCAACTATCAGACCGATAGTTCCGAGACATAAACACTCTATTGTTTTTATTGTTCACCACTAAATTTTCTTCCGCGCCTACGGCTTGTCACAAATGTCAATAATTCGCAATCGTACATTGGCTAAATAATACGTTATACCTGTTAGAATTGAAAAGTCCCTGTTCTTCCGATCTGCCTAACTTCGATGCCGTCTAACTATTCAAAACTTTTCACGGATGAGTACTATCAATCCAGGTATTTTCCGCGGACGGGCACTATCCATCCAAGTATTTTACGCGGGCGGGCACTCTGGGCTGATAGTATCTCTCCACGGATGAACACTATCGCGTCACGTGATCGATGGAAACCACTAAGAACCGGAGAAAATTTTGTGGTGAACTATAAGAAATGATAATCTATCTAGTGCAGTGACAGGGTAAAATTTGTGTGTGTGTGTGTGTGTGTGTGTGTGTGTGGGTGTGTGTGTGTCATAATGGCCACCAACTTTTTGCAATTGGCTACCACTTTAAAATATTTAGGAGTGAAGTAACTACCGGAAAAAAAAGGTTAATTTTACGCCCTGCATCCTTTGTTGATTTTCTAAAAGATTATGACTGCAGATGGATAATGAACCCGGGTTGGCGTGACCTGTTAGCTCGGAAATGGTTCTTTCTGGGCCGTGTTCACAGGATTTTCACGCTATCGGATTGTGGCGAGCGAAAGAGGTTTTTCATACCTCTCCAAGAATTTCTGAAGTTCAGTTCAAAACAAGGAAGAACCTCAGGCTCACTTTGAAAACGCTATGTTTGTTTTTGCTCTTTAGACGGGTGACAATGGTTTTGAAAACATTTTAAATTCACTTACAAATCGAACTTTGTAAAAATTTGACGATAGTTGTTGTGCTTAGTGACGTAGATGCGAAACAATTTCACGTAGCCTCGTTTTCAACTCGCAAATCCACGCTAGATACCTCGCTTCGTTAACCAATCAGAATGCGAGATTTTATTCAATGATGCGATTCAAAATATTATTTTTACAGGAAGGATGCTGAGGCCAAACCTTTGTCTCTTTATCCTGGTTTTTTTCGTGGACTGTGCATCTACCAATGAACAGTGCAGGAAGGAGATCAACATTCAAGGCATGAGACTGGGTAGGGAGGGGTGGGGTTTGTCGCTTTCAATAGTTCTTTCTAGCAGGATCGACTTAAAAAAGGATGGAAATCAATTACTTTCCTCTTTGACGGGTAACTCGCCTCTGGTTCTCACAACTTAAATTCAGTGCACTTTCAACTTCTAACCGGATAAAATCACACAGATACCTACCAAGACAAGCTCTTTCTTCGGTGAAAAAATAACAAGCAGTTATTGTACCCGGGAAAAATCTCAGTGTACCAAAAGGCAGCAACAAACCGTTATCCAGTGTCTATCGAGGCAAATTAAATTTTCAAGGATATTACTCTGCCATTATCTAAAGTATCAGTCAACCAGTACTGTGCATGATATGAACCTATTTTGTTATTTGGCAAATAGGTGAAGAATGCCGATCCATTCTTTTCAAAGAGCCCGTACAGGACAGAGTCATGAAAGACCACCTGATCAGGATTTTAGAGGTGCCCCGCCAAGGCAGCTGTAATGTGCTGTGTTATATGGAGCCCAATTGTGTGTCCATAAATGTTGGGCCTTCACAAGGAGGGAACTACATTTGTGAGTTGAACAATGCTTCGGACGAAAGTCCAGGCTCGTCCGTTCTTGAGAGTAAACAAGATTATATCCATCTCAGTATCGAGGTAAAGTGCCTTATTTTCGACGATGAACAATTATTATGGGTGATCAGTTTGTCCGATTAGTTCTTAAGCTAGCTTTGCAGTTGTACATGAATTGAATTGAAATGATTCCTCAGTACTGCATTGCGCATCCTGAGGAACGCTTTAACCTGAATTTGATGGTATGAAATTGAAAGACTTTGCGCATATTAAATTTTACAATGTTACAAACGCAAGAGACCTTTTTACTTATCGCTCAAATGGCTTCTTTTTTTCAAGTGTTACTTTTGGAACTATCGAGAAATATGCTGTGAAACGATGAAATAGCCCACCTTATTAGTACTATCTATCTCTTTGGTGAACTATCCTTTCACGGAAAATGTCAATAAAAAAATTCTCCGGCAACTCTCATTTATTCGTGAGGAATCACCTGAATAGGAAAGAAAACTAAAGCTATGGTTCACCAGGGGTGTCAACTCTAAAATATTAAAAAAAAGAACACAACAAGATACCCGTAGCTAAAATAAAGGGACCCGTTTAACCGATACTCAACAAACAGAATATGGAGTACTGCGATTGATAGATTTTCTGGTTGAATGACTGATAGAGTGTAATTAATTCTTGTCTGCTCTTACGTTATCAAAAAGCCACAAGAAGTTATCATTCCAGCAAAAATGTGCTCCTTTGAGATTACATGATAACCCAAGAAAGTAAACTAACCATGGATGTTTATAATACTCAATCATTCTGTCTTGAACAGAATCCCTGCAGCAGCAGTCCCTGTTTTAACAACGGCACCTGTCAAGCTGGATACACTGATAAAGGATTTCGTTGCAAATGTTCTTCAGGATTCACTGGTGTATACTGCAAGAAAGGTAATTAAACACAAAACTGTAAGGTGAAATAAATACCGAATTATTATCATGGAGTATTCAGGGGAATAATTTGTTTTTTTTAATGCAGCCTGCAGCTTTGACTTTGAAAATGGAATCGGCGCGTGGGAGAAGAAAGGCAGAGCTTTCATTTACCAGCCTACATTTGGTGACAATCCACTCGCGCGCAATAGAGAAAGCGCCCAGCAGCAAGGACACTGGTGGATAGGGGGAGCTGAGAAACGGTCCAATGAGAGCGATCTCGCAGGAAAGCAGCATCCAGATGGAGCCGACCCACCTGAAGGAACTCTCACCTCAGTTTGTTTTCGTATCGTCGGCAAGAGTATCTCGTTTCTCATTGGTGGGGGATGTAAAGTAAATGAAGTTCGTGCGGAGCTTATTGTCAACAACCAGGTGAGATTATTCACTTTGACTATTATTTGTCCTTTGATTCTTTTAAAATGTCTCAGGTAGATTGATCAAGGTACCAGAGATTTAATCTCGCGAAACCATGTTAAAACTCGTGATATCCATTAAGTTCGTCTAGGTTTAAAATGAGGAAAAAATACTTTTAAAAAGTAAATTTAAACATTTTCAAACCTTGGTCATCATCTGGGTAAGTGATGATGACCCTGATAACAAACAAGTGTCGAGAAAATTTGACTTAACTTTTCAATTATTTTTTGACTTAGAAATTTTATATTTTGAGCTTACTTAAGGAAAGTCCGAAATATGACCAACTTGGTGTCTGGCAAACTATATTTCATTTCATTAGTCTTTGGTTTACCACCCCCCCCCCTCCCTCCTTCGAAAGAACAGGGCTTTTTTCCTCTAAGTTTGAGCTTACTTAGCCTGGGGCAAGTCCGCAATATGACCAACTTGGCGTCTGGCACACTGTTTCACTTTTTTAGTCTTTGGCTAACCCTCCTTCGAAAAGATAGTTTTTCTCCAATTTTAAAGCATTGCAAGTGCATTAATGTACGGCGATATAATCATGTTAGATATGTCAGCAATCGTCGAAACAAAGGTTTAAAAACTGTTTACGTTTTTTGTTACGTTTAGGTCGTCAGAAAGGAGACAGGAAACTGTAAAGAGACAATGTACCGTAAGAGCTGGGACGTAGAGGAGTTTATTGGTCAATACGCGCAAGTCAGACTTGTAGATGAGAGTTCTGGTAGTTGGGGTCACATCAACTTTGATGACCTTAAAGGAGATATCATTTGTCCTCACGATTTAGACGAGAAAAACTGAAGAGACAGTGGCTTTAAAAACTACCTTATCGACTCAAGTCACCTTGAAAGTATGGTGAAGCAGCCTTTGACGTAGTATAGTATTTGCTTTGTGCTGGCATAGATAGGCACAAACATCATTGTATTTTAGGTCAACAGTAGAAAAGCATTATGAAACAATTTTATGCACGTGACTGAGGCTATAAAATATACAATACAATCCTTATAGCCTACTGGTCTACCTCCTGCAAGTGGGGATTTTTAAGCTCTTAGTTAGTCTACATTGTGGCTGAGAAGCCCCTAATGGGGAGCTTCAATTA